GCATAGAAATAGAAGACAGAAGAACAACCATGTTAACTATCCTGTATATACATACATACAGAATTTCTCCTTCTTTCCCTTCTCTTTTCCCACATTCATGGGGCTATTTAATGATGAGATTTGTCTGTACAGTGTTTCTTATCGTAGTAGTTCCTCTGAGCTCCGTATAGTGAAATATTTTTATTAGTGATTGGGAAGAGAATACTGATGACATATGAACCAAGTGTGCAAATACAGCAATGCAGGAGGTACAGTAAAGACCGCAGATGATAAGTCCCACAAAAAAGACCTCAGTAAACAGAAACTGTAACAGGAGTCCAAACTGGGTTCTTATAAGTGATAAGCAGCTCCCCCTAGGGTGTGTTCCAGCCTTAGCACAGACATAGAAAGGAATTAAGGAGCAGATGCTGGATTGCACTTAGACCAAGGACCAGAAACCTTTTCTGTAAAGAGCCAGACAGTAAATACTTTAGGTACTGGAGGCCATCACAGATTCTGTTACAGAACTCAACTCTGCCTAGCATGAAAGTAACCATGAGCAATAAGTAAAAGAAAGAGTATGGCTGTGGTCTAAAAAACTTTGTAGCCAGGCACAGTGGCTAGAAGCACATCTGTAGTTCCAGCACTGAGGGCCATGACTCGAGCCCAAGAGTTCAAGACCAATTTGAACAACACAGGGAAACCCTGCCCGCCCCACCAAAGTAGCAATAAAACTTTTGTCAAAAACAAGCTTCTGCTTGGATTTGGCCGAAGGCTCTAGTTTGCTAATCCTTGGATTAAGGAGTGGTTTCCAGATACTGATCCATCAAACAGAACTGGTCAGTAGGGGGTATACCAGTTCATAGTGAAGTAAAAATAGCAACAATGTAGTAAGTTTTGTGTCAAACTAAATTTATTCTCTTTAAAGGATTTTGAGATTCTTTCCTGCTCTTCCTCTTCTACAGTGTGTTTTTCTTTGTAAAATATTGGTGATGGTAGATGCCAGTTTTCAGGTTGGCCTTTGCTGGTTATTCATAGCTCTACAGAAAATTGAGACTGAATTTCCTGTTTGAAAGGTTAAGGCCTCTGAAGGGTGGGCACTGGAGCACTCCCAGGGGAGCAGACGGAAGGATGTAACTGTGGTCTCTCGCCCCTGTGCTCTCTCTCCTCCCCTGGCCCTGGCCCTCCTGACAGCGGTGGTTGGGGCCGGGATTGGCGGCTCTGCTGTGGCCCACTTCCTGCAGCAGCACTTTGGACCCCAGGTGCAGATCGATGTGTACGAGAAGGGAACTGTGGGCGGCCGCCTGGCCACCATCTCCGTCAACAGACAGCACTACGAGAGCGGGGCGGCCTCCTTCCACTCCCTGAGCCTGCACATGCAAGACTTCGTCAAGCTGCTAGGTGAGTGCCCGTCCTGGGGTTCCTGTTCCCAATGTCCAGGGCTGGCCGTAGCCACCAGGCCCTTCCCAGACTGCCTAGACCTTCGAGGCTGGATGGTCATGTAGCCCAATCTCCTCATTTTACAGATGGAGCAGCTGAGACCAGAGAGGGGAAGGAACTTGCCTGAGGTTACACAGTGAGTTAGTTGCAGAGCCGGGACTAGAACTCAGGTTTGACCCCCAGGCCAGTTTATTTCCCTGTCAATTTACTGCCTCTTGATTATCATGATCAGATCAGTGTCCGCGTGCTGGTACCCGCCAGGAACCTGGCGCCCTTGCACGTAGTAGTTGTGTATTACTTCACATCCTCCCTACCAGCCTGCAAGGTGGGTGTTAGATTCCCCGCTAAGGAAACTGAGGCTCAGAGGACTTAGATACCTCAGCTAAAACCACACACCGTGAGGGAGAGAGCTGGGATTCAAGCCCAGCAGCATCTGTCAAGGCCACAGTGCCCATGCTGTTTGATCCAGGAATTCCAGTCATTAGAAGTGATCCCACAAGTGGCCTTGTGACCTGCAAAGTGACAGACATGCACACTTGCTCACTGCAGCTGTGCTTGTCATAGCAAATGGCAGAAAATACCCCACCTGCCCACTTCCTGGGGCTTGGGGCTAAATACAGAGTTGTATCAGCACACGGTAGGCTGTTCAGCAACCAAATGGGAAAGTCCTTTATACCAAGATATAGAATAATCTCTCCAAGATATACTATGTTGTCAAGGTGACAAAACAGGAAAGTCGCGTGTGCAGGTAGGGAAGGAGTAAATCATGTCTGTAGCATACTTTTTAGTCTAGTGCTGTGTAAGTTGTACAGTGCTAGACGTCTGGAGTGAGCTGTGGTTACTTCTAGCCCTTTTGGGGTCCAGGACCCCACCTCAGAGCAAGCCCTGTGCTGTCAGCCCTTGAGCTTTCTGGGATGAGATCAGAATCTCCCTCTCTCTCTGCCAAGAGGATCCCTGTTGGAAAAAAATGTGAAATGGTACATTGTTTCATTATCATCATCTTATTGGCCAGGAAGGGCAAACATTTATTTTCCCAGTGTGTTTGTGTGCTGTTCATAGACACGGGAAAACCATAGCATTCCCATTTCCTTAACCAGGCAAGCCTTTTGCATTAGGAAGACCTTGAATTTAAGCTTAAAGCACTGCCAGGCGCCCTGCGGGGACCTCCTGAAGGGGAACTGAGGAGCTCCTGGTCCCCACAGGACTGAGGCACCGGCGAGAGGTCGTGGGCAGGAGCGCCATCTTCAGCGGGGAACATTTCGTACTGGAGGAGACCGACTGGTACCTGCTGAACCTCTTCCGCCTCTGGTGGCACTATGGCATCAGCTTCCTGAGGCTGCAGATGTGGGTGGAGGAGGTCATGGAGAAGTTCATGAGGTAGGACTGGGCCCAGCTGAGGGAGGGCGTTCCCTGGGAGAGGAGAAGAGAGCTGGGGAAGGAACCTGCTCCACCACTATCAATCAGAAAAGCAGGTACTTGGTTGCCATAGGAACCCCAAACAATTCAGCACAGGCTCAGAGCAAGCCCCAGCCTGAGGAAGGGCCCCACATGGCCAGGGCTGGTGCCTCTGCCGTCATCAGACTTGCCTGCATTCTTTCCCTCCGCTAAGCTGATTAAAACACAGGTTGAAACTCACTCACCTAAAAGTCCAAAGCAGGCGGTGCATGAGTGAAACAGCACCTTGAGGGTAGAAGGGACCAGGGAGCTGCAGGACACGGGGTGATCTGAAGAATAAGGCCATCATGGTAGCAGCCAGCGCACCACCACGGCCCCCTGTGGCCAGCTGCATGAGGACGCCCACCCTATGAGGCCAGGTCTTCCAGCATTTCTGGAAGCTGGGTCGCTAGTGTTACATACGAGATCTCCCAGCTCTTTCACGTTTGCAGCGAATTCATTGTGTAGGCTGAATGAAACACCAGTGAAATGCTCCAGGCTCACCTTTAGGCTATGTGCAGCCCAGGCCACCCACTTGCAAACTTTGCTGTGCCCACTTTTTCCACCTAAAACCAAGTCCTGTCTTCATCACTCTCCTCCACGGGTGCCAGCCCTCTCCCCATCACCTCTGTGTATGGAGGGCAATGGGTCTGTGCCCAGCCTGCACTCACAGGTCCTTTCCCTGTGCCCTGCTGCAGGCTCTCCCAGCCCCCGGGAAAAAAACTGCTCCCCTGGGCCCATCATTGGCTCCCTTTCTTCACTGCCAGGTGCTTAAGAGTGACCCCGTGGCCTACTTCCCACTCTGCCTTGTGGCATTTCTTCCTTAAGGTCCAGGTAGCCCTCAAAGCTTATGTCTCTGCCTCTCCTTTCTCTTTCTTACCCCACAGCGGTGACTTCTCCCTGCTATGGGAGAGAACTTCCACTTGTCAGTTCCAGACCCACATTTGTCTGTCCTCTGGATGCTTCTATCTGGTATTGCATAGAAAACCAAATTCAGCATGTTTACAAAGCAGCACCAGAATGGGCAGCATTTCAAAGGCCAACTAGTCCCAAAATCTGCCAGCAGATGGTTCCAGTCTGTACCAGTCCTTGGGTTGGGTCAGCAGTGGGGGGACAAGATGTGAGCTGGGGAGTGAGTGGGAGGTCTTCCAGAGGAAGCCAGGGGAGGACAGACAGCTGCTGTCCTCCCTGGTGGGAAGCTGCTGCCTTAGAGTCCAGCGTGATCCTAGAAATAGAGCAAACTGGAAGCCAGTGGAGAACCTGCCACATCTGGGGAGGTTTCAGCAGACATGGGCCAGGGCCCACAGCCAAGAGGTCCCAGTTGGACAAAAGGGCTGTGGATTATGACCTCTGCCAAGGGAGTGGCTTGAAGGTTCTTAAGGGTCCTTTAGCCAAACCATGGTATGAAGCTAGGTCTAGTGGGATTCTGGAGTACTTGTCTATCAAAAACCAGGTTAAATAACCCTAAGTTATTATAGGATGATCAGGCCTACAATCTCCCAAGTGAGTGGACGTCGAAGGCTTAAATAAAATGCAGACAATATTATCATTTTAGGGCACCAGGAGGGACTAACTCTCTTACAGCTTCAGTATTCTCGGAGTTAGCCAAAGACTGCTCTGGGTGGCCGGTATTTATTTGGTTTTCACTCAAGAAAACGCGGGAATCTCGCAGGACCTTGGGAGAATTTTCCCAAGTAGTAAATTATGTCAGTCAGGAGAAATACCTTATCTTTAGGTTGATGTTTATTGTAGGAGTGTGGGGCCTGCAGCTGCAATCTCCTGGTAGTTAATTGGGGTTGGAGCCAAACATCCTCAGCTGTGGCCTTATCGTGTCGGAAAAGTGCCTAAGCTTCAGACAACTCACAAGTAAACATGGAAAGCCAACTGGTTAATATTAAATCCTGCTCAGAGACACTTTGTAGTGGCCCCCAACACTTGTCCTTATCTCCAGGTTGTCCTTCTAAGAAGGACGGGTCCACCCCAGCCAGAGAACAGGCCAGGGGTCATAACCAGCTTCCTCTGCCACCCCTCCATATATACAGGAGCTGGAAAGTCGCTGATGGGCTCCAAAGTCCACAGGGACCTCTGGTGGCAGGAAGTCAGCCAAAAAGCCTTTCTGCACAGGGACTGCGCCCATGTGTCTCTTAGGATCTACAAGTACCAAGCCCACGGTTACGCCTTCTCGGGTGTGGAGGAGCTTCTCTACTCACTGGGAGAGTCTGCCTTTGTCAACATGACCCAGCGCTCCGTGGCCGAGTCCCTGCTCCAGGTCGGCGTTACACAGCGCTTTATCGATGATGTCGTCTCCGCTGTCCTGAGGGCCAGCTACGGCCAGTCAGCAGCGATGCCCGCCTTTGCCGGTGCGTGTCCAGCCCTCAGCGTGCCCTCCCCCTGTGTGCAGTATCCACAGTGAGCTGGGGTCCCCTAAAGAACCTCACATCTGCCCAGCGGTCACCATTGCCTCAGCACTCTGTTGCCCCATCTTATTTGATCCTGGCACCAGTCCTCCAAGTTGGCAGGCTTGTATTTGCCCCACCTCACAGGCAGTGGAAGCAAAGCTCAGAACACACGTGCAGCGGGTGGCCACTACTCCTGATGGCCCAATCATCCCTCATACTGCGTTCATGATAGAGTTGAAGTGACAGTTTGGTTTCAAGAACTGCCATGTTGGGCTGGGGATATAGCTCAGCAGCATAAGCACCTGCCTGGCTAAGCGCAAGGTCATGAGTTCGATTCCTGGGACCAAAAAAAAAGAACTGCCATGTTGAGACCTCTGAGCCCCTGTTCATTGATTAGTGCATCTAACCTTCCCAGCCCGTTACTGAGGTGAGTGGGCATGTGTGTGGCCCACCTCTCCCTGCGCAGGCCCGGAGTGCAGAGAACCTAGGCTTTGCAGGGGCAGCGCTCTCGCTCATGTGTCCACCAGTACATCGCAACCCTCCGAACAGTCCCTGCACTGTGTCAGGCACCCAGTGCACTCTTGCAGAATGAAGGAATGAAAAGGTTTATACTGTCAAGCACTGCCCATCTTCCCAGGGTGTTGTTCCTTCAACTCCTTCACAGCCTTCAGGTCCTGCCTCAATATCCTCTTGTAGCTTCCCTGCCCATTCTTTGAGGGTCTTATGTGTCCTTCATCATATATTTATACTGAGATGTAATTCATGCATTTTTGTCACCCGGAAGAAACCTCATACCTTTATTTAACCATCGCCTCGCCAGCACCCCCAGCCCCTAGCCCTAGACAAACACATACCTCCCTGTGTCTGTGGATTCGCCCCATAGAAACAGGACCACGCACCATGTGTCTTTGAGAGCTGGCCCTTTCACTGAGCAACATGCTTTCACTTCCTAGCATTGCGACCGTCACTGTATTGTTGGTGTGTCTGTTGCCTCCCTAGGCCCGCGGCTGGGAGCAGTCTTGGCGTGGTAGGAAGGCCCAGGAAGTTAGAACTGGGCTCTCCAGCCTTTCTGCCTGGAGGTTCTGAGAACCCATGGGCCACGCTTCCTTCCTAGGAGCCATGTCTCTGGCCGGGGCCCAAGGCAGCCTGTGGTCAGTGGAAGGGGGCAACAAGCTGGTGTGTTCCGGTTTGCTGAAGCTCACCAAGGCCAATGTGATCCATGCCACAGTGACCTCTGTGACCTTGCACAGCACAGGTAAGTGGACAGAGCACCTCTGTATCTCAAACCTGGACTGTGCACTGCTGAGGAGTATTTTCAAAAGAGCAACAGGAAGCCAGGCATAGTGGCACACACTTATAATCCCAGCTAAGGGGAGGCTGAAGCAGGAGAGTCACAACTGTAAGTGTAGCCTTGCCAACTTATCTCAAAATTTAAATAAATAAGCCAGGTATGGTCCCACATAGCTGTAATCCTAGCACTTAGAAAGCTGAAACAGGAGGATCACCATGACTTTAAGGACACCCTGGCTACATGGTGAGTTCAGGGTCAGCCCAAACTACTTAGCAGGACCGTGTCTTTAGAAAAAAGTTAAGTAAATAAGTATTCAGTAAGTAAGTAGGCCAGGGATATAGCTCAGCAGCACAAGCACCTGTCTGGCAAGCTCAAGGACCTGAGTTCGACTCCAGGTTAAAAAAAAAAAAAAAAGTAAGTAAATAAGTGAGGCTGTGTATGTAGCCCCGCGGAAGAGCACCCCTGAGTTCTTCCCGCAGCACCACCAAAACAAAAAGAAAAGGCACTGGGAGGCACTAGAGGGCGCTGTTGCCACGATTCAAATATCAGCCCCAGAAAGCAGTCTTGCGTGGTTCCAGCCTTGTTTGTTTGCCCAGTGAGGACGTTGATAGCCTCGCACAATCGCCCCTGCCAGTCAGCAGCAGAACCAGAAGAGCAGTTTGGGTCTCCTGCCTCCTAGGCAGTGCGCACCCTGCAGACCACGTCAGTATGGGGAGACGAGGATGGCCATCTGGACAGCCCAACCACTCCGTCACCAGGGTCTCACTGTGCCCCAGTGCTGGACCCCAAACGGGAGATAAGTGGGCATAAGCCAGGGGTAAGCTGGCCTCAGTTCTCTCGTCTCTCCTTCCAGAAGGAAAACCCCTGTACCAAGTGGGGTATGAGAGTGAGGTGGGCAGCGGCTCTGACTTCTATGACATCGTGGTCATCGCCACTCCCCTGCACCTGGACAGCAGCAGCAGCAACTTCACCTTTGAAGGTTTCACCCCACCCATTGATGATGTCCAGGGCTCTTTCCAGCCCACCGTTGTCTCCCTGGTCCACGGATATCTCAACTCTTCCTACTTCGGCTTCCCAGACCCTAAGCTTTTCCCTTTCGCCAACATCCTTACCACAGATTTCCCCAGCTTCTTCTGCACTCTGGACAACATCTGCCCTGTCAACATCTCTGCCAGCTTCCGGCGGAAGCAGCCTCAGGAAGCAGCTGTTTGGCGAGTCCAGTCCTCCAGGCCCCTCTATCGGGCCCAGCTGAAGACCCTCTTCCGTTCCTATTACTCAGTGCAGACAGCCGAGTGGCAGGCCCACCCCCTGTACGGCTCCCGCACTGCCCTCCCGAGGTTCGCGCTCCATGATCAACTTTTCTACCTCAACGCCTTGGAGTGGGCAGCTAGCTCCGTGGAGGTGATGGCTGTAGCTGCCAAGAATGTAGCCCTTCTGGCTTACAACCGCTGGTACCAGGACCTGGACAAAATTGACCAAAAGGATTTAATGCACAAGGTTAAGACCGAACTGTGAAAGCTCCAGACAGAACCCAGGAACTTCTGCCCCACGCTGAAGATGGATCACAATCCCAGCAGCCCAGGGCTGGCTGAGCCACTCTTTCTCACCCATGTGTACCCAGCATCTTGCTCTCCACAGGGGGTCCAGGTGATCCCCTAACCTGCCTGTCTACCTTAAGGATCCTTACAGTGGTTACTTCTTTAAGGTAGACAGTAAGAAAAGGGAAGGAAATCCAAGCCAGTGCGTTTGTTTATTTATTTTTTTTTTAAGAAATAAAAATCCATCTTCTCAGGCTTTTGTGACTTTGTTTTCTAATTGAGAACCAGGATGACTGTAGGAATAGAATGCAGAGAACCCTGAGTCTAACGTTGCTACCCTGTTCCACAGCCTACTCCCAAAACGCACAATCCACTGAGGCAGCATACAATAGAACATTTATAACCAGAAGTTACAAACAGTAAAAGAGAACATCAGGAGACCTAAGAAATGATAATAGCTCCATTTGGTGTGGGCTTGCTACATGTGAGGGACCTGGTTCAGAACTTACTTAGATGCCATTTCCAAACCTCTCAACAATATTGCAGTTGGAGAGGATGAATGGTGGGACCTGAGGAAGAGACATTTGCCTCAGCATCGCCATCAGCATAGCTCTGAGCTTCCTAGCACCCGGTGGGAAAAGGGAAACAAATTATGCTATAGGAAGAAAGGAGTTTTCCTTGGCACATGGAGGAACTGACCATTCTGTTCCTTATGCAAGGGCTGAGCAGTAATATGATGGGTTTGCCTTGCAAAGGAGACAAGTCCCCAGAGGGTGGGGAGCAGTCCTCCCAAATCTTCACCTGAGCAAAGGAAAGGAAGAAAAGGTGTTTGGATTGAGTTCTCCAGAGGCTAATCTGGTGCTTTCTTCTTCAGCACTGGCTTAAAAGAAGAGGAAAATTTTGCTTTACTTTTACTGGAAACCTTAAAGATCCGTAGTTTTAAAAAAGAAAGTACGGTAAAGATCTTTATTCCTTTTGGACATATGCTGTTCTATAAGGGCAGCGTGCTGAGGAACAGAGCCCCAGGCACCCGGGAAGTGTGGCCCATGGGACTAGACACCACATCTAAATCTCATAGAGAAAGGTAGGTCTCGGTGAAAGGGCAGCTGGCCAGGTCCCACCCGGCCTGCTGCGTCAGCCTCCATGGCAGGGACCCGGATGCCAACTGATGCTAACACTGCGCCTTTCCTAATGGAAACAGTCCCCAAGCCCAGCCATGAGCCTCTCTCTGTGGAGAGGTGGAGACTGAAGACCCAGAGTGAGAAATGATTTGTCCAGGGCCTTCTGAGAAGTTCACAGAGCAGCTCACATCTGGAGTTTCTCCTTAAAAGTGATTGAGTTCAGCATGGGGCAAAATACTCTTCCAGTCAGGCAGCTGCAGACCGGCTCTAAGGTTGTTTTTACTATGTCAGGATCATGGTAATGGCAGTGAAATAAATGGGGTATTTACAGGACAGAGGATGTGCATTTGTGGCTTATTACAGAAACCATGAAAGTGATATATCAGTTAAAAGGTAGGCCAGGCATGGTGGCACACCCATGCAATCCCAGCACTTGGGAGGCTGAGGTAGGAGAATTGCCATGAGTTCAAGGCCAGCCTCAACTACATAGCAAGACCATGTCTCAACGCCCCCACACATACAAAAAGAAGGGTTTTGGTTGAAGTCGTAGAAAACCAAACTAAGATGACATAGGCAATACTGTATTTGCCAGGCTTGCCAGTGCACACCTGTAATCCCAGCACTCTGGGAGCCCAAAGCAAGAGGATCAGCCTAGGTAATTTAGTGAGACCTTCTCCCAATATGAAAAATTTAAAAAGGGGGGCAAGGCTGGAGATGAAGGTTCCGGGTTCCATTTCCAGTACAAAAAAAAAAAGGATTGTACTGGTTATAAGTTAAAATTTAGGTGCAGAGCCCTGTGCAGTCCCCAGTTCCACCACCCTCATAGTAAAGATGGCTACCAAAAGCTCCCGGATGACATGTCCTCCCACAGCCTTTGAGCCAAACGGCTCCAGCCAAGCTGGACCATCTCCCAAATAATTCCTGTGGCCAGGTGAGTGCCACATGCTAGCTAGCAAGGCGCTCAGAAACCAGCCCAGTCCCTGTGGCCAGGGAATAACATTAAGCTGAGGGGCTTGGGACAGCCCGGGGGGCCATCCTTGAAGCAGAGGTAGGCCTATCCAAACTTCAGGCTGGAGGGGTGGGAAAAGACAGAGAAGGCCACAGTGTGAGCCCCCTGCAGAGGGTGCCGTGCCTTCCCTCCTTCAGCCCAGTGAAATCAGAGTGTGACGGCATCTTTTGATGGTCTTTTAAATGAAGACGGCATGAGCTGTTGTGGTGTAATTGATAGCTGGTATTGGGCCAGACGGACAATAAAAAATGATTCTACTCACCCCTCCTTTCATCCCTAAGGAGGCTGTGTGCACCAGCGATGCAAACCGAAGCAGTTAAACCTGCCCCTCAGCCCTTGGGGGACTTGGGCCCTGTGTCCCAGCGGGAGGGCAGTGGGACTGGCTGCAGCCTTGGAAATCTCTTCTACCTGGGTGGGCAGGCCCAAGCCGCTCAGAATCAAAGCCAGCCCAAATGCCCTGCCGCCCACTTCCCCAAGCCCAAATCTGAACGCTGGAGCTTCCCATTCCTTGCAGGTAGGGAAAGGAGAGAAAGTCCAGAAAGGGGAACAAGAGCCAGCAGAAGGGTCTGGGGATTTAACTCAGCAGCACAGCTCCTGCCTGGCAAGCACGAGGTCATGAGTTTGATTCCCGGTACCAGAAACCCGCGCCCCCACCAAAAAAAGAGCCAGTAGAAAACCGTTGGCCAGGCCACCCTTCTCCTTTCCAGGCAAAGCAGAAGCCCCCAAACCCCTCAACCCCGGGGATTTAAGACCATCTGCAGAGAGAGCCCTCTAATCTGCTCAAAAAACATGTAAGAGGCCACTGATCCTTGGTGATCCTTGGTACAGTGCAGGAGGCGCTTGAAAGCCTTCACAGGAACCTCCTCTCCTACAGCAGGTGACTCACACCAAGTGCCAGCACTCTGTGGAGAGGAAGGCTCAGTGTGGCAGGCAGGAGTGGCGGGTGGAGAAGTGAGGAATACCCTACGGGGGACTCACCTATGGAGGTGCACTTGAGGGAGCTGGGGCAGATCTTCAGCACCTAGTGGTCTCTGGGTTTATTCAGTAAACTCTACACCCCTATCCCACAGTGGGTGCTGCACTGGAGGCTAGAGGCGCAATGGTAAGACAGGTGGGGCCCCCATCTCATGAGTAGGAGTTTCTCACTAATGAGTGAAAACAGGAAACATGTTTAGACTCAGACCAAAGGTAGTTCTGGGGTTTGATGTAGACTTGGTTTTCTGAATTTCTGAGTTCCCTGCTCTGCCTTTAGTATGGGGGGAGGGCACTGAAAAGGGTCAGCTGCCTGCCCCAGCTCATGAAGTCAACCTTCTAAGTTACACTAAAAGCCAGGTGTGGTGGTGCATTCCTGTAATCCCAGCACTCTGGGAAGCTAGGAGGCTAAACCAGAAGGATCGCACGTTTAAGCCCAGCCTAGGCAACTTAATGACTTAGCAAGAGCCTGTCTGAAAATAAAAAATTAAGGAGTGAGATGTCAGAGATGTAGCTCAGTGCAAATGCTATGTTTAATCCCTAGTGTCCCCCAGGAAAAAGGTACCTTATAGAAAAGACCCTGGAGATCCCTAAATTCTACCTGCTCAGTCATGATAAACAACCAGAAGCAAGTCCTAGTGGCACATGACTGTAATCCCAACACTCAGGAGGCTGAGACAGGAGGATTGCTGCAAATTTGAGGCTACAAAGTGAGTTCAAGGGCAGCCTGAACTGCATAGAGAGACCCTGTCTCAAAAAGATGGGGTGGGAGGAAGCTGGAGATATAGCTTATTGTAGAGGAGTTGCCTTAGCATATGTGAGCCCCGGGGTCTCATCCCCAGTACAGAAAGAAAGAAAGAAAAAGAAAGAAAGACAAAGAAAGAAAGGAAGGAAGGAAGAAAGAACCAGAAGCCCAGAAGGATGAAAAAGTAGCATCCATGTATAACTGGCATTTTTTGAGCATCTCTGTTTTTGATGCTGTAGTAGAATGACATGCACTTCTCACCATGAAGGGGCCCCCCAACCCCTGAGCCCCCCGGGGTACATGGATCTCTTGGGAGCAAATCTCTCGCAACCCAGCTCTTCCCACAACCTCACCCCCCAAAAGCCTTGCACCTTATGCCCCTCCTGTGGGCCTAAAGTATTAAAATCTGGACAGCAGAGCTGTGGGTGTAGCTCAGGGGTGGAGCACAAGCTGAGCATGGATGAGCCTAGGGCTCAATCCCAGCACCAAAAAGGAAAACAAAAAAAAGACCCGGAGAGCACACTGTGACAGCCTTAGAGACAAACAACCCTGGGGGAAGGCACAGTGACTGCTGGAGGGATCGGCAGGGCCAGCACACGAAGTCTATTTTCCATGTGTCTGGAACCAGGCCGGAGCTTCCTGGGGTAATTTTAACCAGTATCCACTCTAGAACAATACCAAAAAAGGTAAGTTACTTACGATGCCAGACAGGCACATACCTAACCATTGGCTTTCATGAATTAGATCCTTAAACCATCCAGCACTAAAGCTGCTTTAAGCACTGACGCCCGAGCAGCCAGGTCAAGTATTCCTCCACCGAGCGGTCGGCCCTTTCATTGAGGTTAACTCCTAGCTATTCTCACCCCCAGAAAGGCCGAGTGGCCCAGCTGTCCTTGGGAGGAAGGGTATTTTTAGGCCCCAGGACAGCTGATTGAGGATTTGCGGCAGGGATTCGAGGGTCCAGGAGGAGATTTGAATTGTAAGGGGCCGAAGGGGGAAGCAAAGGGTTAGCATCAAGGAGCAAGAGCCTATGGGCTTAGGCCAAGCTGGTCACACTGCCTGTTTCAATCAGCAGTTTCTTGATAGAAGCCAGTGGTTCCCAAAGTATGGTCCCAGACCTGCCGGAGCATCACCCAATGAAGAGAAGGCAATGCATAAAAATGAAAAATAGTGCAGCGCTAAATCAGAACCTCTGAGGCTGGGGCCCACCAATCCATTTTCACAAGCCCTCCCTGTGGTTCTGATGCTAGTTTGAGAGTCACTGACACCACCAAACCAGCTAACCAGATGCCCTCGGGCGCAGGGCTGGAGGAAACAATGATCTACAGTGTTGCCTCTCAAGCCTTGATTGTTCAAAGCCGGGAATCCTCAATTTAGAGAAAAGCACACATATACTAGGGGCTTGCTGACTCAGTTGGAAATGCCTGCTCTGGGGCAACCTGGAGGCCCTTCTTTGGGCAGAAGTCTGCTCTGCAGAGAATCTCCGGGCTGAGAGACCTTATGAGACTTCTACAATGAGAGAGGGGGGTCAGCTCGTGGAGCCCCCAGAGGCTCAGTCCTCGCTGGACTCTTTCAAAGCCCAGAGCTCACGGCTGCAAAGAGGCTAATTTCCTAGGATCCACGAGCTCCTAGTGTAGAGTTAGCTCTTGTCAACGCCTATGCCGGTTTATGCCAACAAAACGTCAATAATATGGCTGAAATACAGGCTTACGTAAACAAACTACACGAAATATGCTGGTATCCTAGACGATAAAAACAAATGGCTCAGTGTTAGAGAACTCAGAATGTTGGAAAATCTTCTTTATATTGATCTGATATCTGACTCCAAGAAGCTCCAAGCCCCACCCCAATTTTTACTTTCAGCCACAAAGAGCAAAGCCAAAGGCTTGCGTTACAAAGGACAGCGTCGTCTCATCAGCCTTGCGCGGCTCAGTGCAGGGCGGGTGCTCAGAAGATGCAGGTGCAGCCCACAGCGATGGTCTCCATGACTGCGCGCTGGCGGCAGGGCCCGGGGCGCGGTGGCGACGGGCAGAGGCGGCGGCGCACCGGCACCTGGCTGAACACCGGCACGCTCACCATGCTGCGGTCCTCCTGCATGGTGAAGGGGTTCACGCAGCCCAGACACAGGCACCGCGCCTCGGGCAGGTCCGCGGGGATGCGGTTGGGGTCGTGGTTGATGCTGCGGGGAGCGAGCGGGAGAGGGCGCGGGTAAGGCGGGCTGGGAAGAGCAAAGCACCTCCTCACCGGCCCCATGCCTTCCCCGCGAGCTGGGGTTCCCACAGCGAGACTGGAGACAAGATCACCTTAGGAAAGTCCCTGCCCCCGGGTTTTCCCGGCTCAGGATCACCAGTCAGTGCTGGCTTTCTCCTTCACCCAGCAAGATGCCCATCGCAGTACTGGATTGTTCTGTGGGCACCACCCGGAGGTAAAGCCTCCCGCTGTTCCCTGGCCCCACTTTTATATTTTGAGGGAGCTTAATCTATAGAAATAAAATGCAAGCACACTGAAGCCTACTGCCCCCTGTAAGAGGAGCCCGGAGACCTGGGTTCAGTTATGACTTAGGCTGTAGTTTGTACTTATTCATGAGCACTTTTACCTACTCACGGTGTGAGTGGTCCTGCCCTGGACTTTAGCTCATTGTGAGCACAACAGATGCATTCCTTCCTGCTGCTATGGCAAAACCTAGCATGCAGGAACTTGCTCTGTGATTGTAACCTCCCCCATGCCTTGGTTTCCTCTTCTGTTAAATGGGAGAGGAGACCCTATATGCCACATCCACAGTCCTTCATCGTGCTGGGGAGCTGGTTAGAAATGCAGAATCTCCTGAATGACAGACAGCCAACAGCGGCTCAGTCACACAGGAAAGTGTGGGACACTGGGCTCTGGAAGATCCTTAACGATACTCCCAAAGGTCAAATTCCAGGGCTGCAAGGTACAATACAGTAGCCACTGACCACATGTGCCAACTTAAATTTAAATTAATCAAAACTTAGTTCTCCAGTCTCAGTAGCCACATCTCAGTTGTGCAGTAGCCACCTTAGGCCAATAGAATTTACACCGTCACAGAATACTGTAGTCACCGGTGCTACTCTAGGGCCTCCGGATATAAGTTGCATGGCTAGAATATCTCTGGCCTGGGCCTGTGAGTGACCCCATTTCAACATTTATTTATACACTTGGCTCCTTCTGTGTACCAGGCACTGAGCTAGGAAGTGGAGCCTGAACCAAGGTACGACACTGCTTCGTCCCCGGTGCCTTAGAACTGATTCCCAGGTCAAAGCCCCACAGCGCATCTGAGTCATGCGCAGATGCACACAGCATTGCCGTGTTCTGGGCATCACCCTGGAGCACTGATTGAGTGAGGCATGAGAACTCAGGTGCCTTTGATGTAGGCATTAGGAATGTCCCTGCCGTGGCAGGAAGGGCATGAACGCGTCCGGCAATGTCTCATGAAAGCTGTGACTGAGAAGTGTGCACAAGGCACCACTGCCAGACACAGTAATATCTGGGGAAGCCTTGCAGGCACTTACACTGGGACTGCTGCAAAAGCAGAGTGCTCTGCATGGAGATGCTGTGAACACGCATGTGAAGAAGGGACCACTATCACCTGCACTGACAGGTGGGGAAACTGAGGCTCAGAACGGCTAGTCAGCTAGCCCAAAGCTTCACCCCCAGTAAGAGACAGAGGCAGCATTCAAACCCAGGTACTGAGATTTCTGAACCCAAGGTCTTGCCTGTCCGGATGACAGGGACAGTGGGGAGGCCCCAGCCTACCTGTAGCCCCAAGGAGACAGGCTCCTCCGGTTGGACAGCCACAGCTGCAGGTTGACCTCACACTTCCGCGGAGCTGGCTCGGAGCTGTTTCTCAGCTGGGCCACCATCTCCCCTAGATTCCTCTCATACTCCTCCATGCGGGCGTAGGGCTTCACCCGCGACACCAGGTCCAGGGGCACCTGGTGAGGCCCAGGGGCCAGGGTCCCAGGCCTCCCTTGCCCCTTCCTCCTGCCTTTGGGGCTCCTGGGCTGGCCCATCCCCAGGAAGATGGAAATGGCAAGAAGGAGCAGCTGGGGAGAAAAGAGCACCCTGGTCAGAGGCGGGACAGCCAAGTCACTGGGCCCAGGCTCAGGGTCCAGGGAGGAGAGGAAGAGGGACCCCCTGCAGGGCCCCCTCAGCTGCCGCGCCCAGGCTGTCCCCATCCACCCTCACTTGCTGCGCACTGCTCTGTGATGGCACCAATGACATCTCCTTCTTCCTGCCCTCACATCCAACTCGTCTCCAAGTTCTGAAAGCAGGGCACCTCCTACCCACCCCCACGGTTCCCCTGCAGCTCCGGGGGATCTGCAGCCTCCCGGCCGCTCTTATCAACCCCTCTGGCTCTTCCACTCAGTGCTGAGGGCCAAGGCCAGGGACAACTGTTTGAAAGGCAAATGCGCAATGTCACCTTTGCCTGACACCTTTCACTGGGCCCTTAGAGGTGTCCCAGGCCCCTCCCATCTTCAGCCCCAGCCTGTGGCCTTGTCTGGTCCCTTGCTTTCTTACCTTGGGGCCTTTGCACTGGCCTAGACTCTCACCTTCACACATCTATGAGGCTCTAGCGTCACTGCCTCAGGGATGCCTCTGGACAGTCTGGGATTCTCTTAACCCCCACAACTTGCCTGACCCGCATTTGACATTTGCACATGTAATCCTTTTGTATACCTGTCCCCTATGAAGCGTAGATTCCCAGAGGGCATCGATTGAGTCAGTTTTCACATGCTGTCCTACCCCTCAGCCCTCCAGCCTGCTGTGATACTGGGCGCTTAGGTGTTCAGGGAGCACATGCAAGTAAAGGGGTGACTGGCACCATCCCAGCTGGTGTAGCTGACAGGCCAGGAGGGGAAATGGCTCTGTGAGAAGTGTAGGGATGGGCCCATGCAGGGTGGCTGGAGAAGAGCTGGGCTCCTGCTTACCATGTGCTGGGGCAGCAGTCTGCACAAGGGGACGTGACAGGTGAGGCTTGCGGGATGAGGGAGGCAGGCATGCACACAGGGACAGACATGTCTTCCAAGCAGGGGAAAGACAGGGCAAGGAGGTTTGAGTCGATCACAAGCTTTGGTGAAAGAGTGAGGCTGAAAAGGAGTGTGGGGTGGGAGGAGGGGAGCATGAGATGAACAGGGTGAGCCAGGCAGGTCCCCAGCTCCCCGTGGGGCTCCACCTCTGGGGCCCCGGCACTGCCCTCTTCCACTCCACTAATGGCCACCCCCCCCACTGCTGGCCACCTCCCTCCCCAGGCACATCACATCAGGAAAGCCTGTGGCTCTCAGGGAAAGACCAGGCTGCCCAGGAGGTCAAGGGAAGAGGACCCACCAGTACCTGCCGGGTAGGAGGCAGAGCTGGCCAGACAAACTTCCAGGTGAGTCTTACCTCTGGCTGCACCTAGCCGGGCCCACGCCTTCCTGGCATCCCTCCCCCACGGCCTACAGGCCCTGACTGATCCAGGCCTCCCAGCAAGCCTGGACCCTGAGGAATGAACTCCAGCAAAGCCCCTCTTGGCAGAACCATTTCCTGGCACACAGCTACAAGAGATTCAAGCTGCGAAATTTGCCCTTTTTGGTCCTAAATTCTAGTGAAAAAAAGCTGCCTAACAATGGGCTCTCTCATCTGAGCTTCTCATATGCCACTTTTCTTTTTTTTTTTTTTTTTTGAGACAGGGTCTCACTATGTAGTTCAGGTTGGCCTTGAATTCGCCATGCAGCCCAAGCAGCGTGCTGGGATTACAGGCGTGTGCCACCATGCCCGGCTTCATATCCACTCTTCAACCCTGGCTCTCCGCTCAGAGGAGACTCAGAGCCCCCTCCCTCACTTGCCAGAAGGGAACCAGAAACAGAAAGACTTGCCCAAGGTCACACAGCCTGCCCCAGGCCCAGGAGGCAGCCTGGAAATTCCCCAGACTCTGAGCTTGCCAGGATCTCCCCAGATGCCTCGCCCTGAAAGAGCTTCAGTGTGGATGGCCGAGCCCCAGGCCAGAGCCCGAGCTCCGGGACATGGCTGCAGGCTGTGAGACCAGTCTCTGTTTCTCTCTAGTCCTAGAGAAGACAGAGGGCAAATACACCTCTGCAGACTCCAAGCCAAACAGAGACAGCCATTAATCAATGGGACAGAAATGCTACAGCGCTCCGGCTCTAAAAGGAGTGGGGGTGGGGGTGCGCCACGTACCAGGTTGTACGGCCAGTCCATCCCGCCAAGCCGGCGGTCGGCCTGCAGCTGCCGCCGCCTGGAACCCCAGATGCCGCTGTGGAGAGAATGGCAGCAACAGGATGGAGCGAAGCAATTATAGCTGCCAGGGGGCTGCCGGGGGAGTGGGTGGGTGGGCTCGTCATCAGCCAGGAGCCTTGGGCCCCAGCTGGCTGGGCCTAGAGCAGAGGCAGGCGGCAAGGGGTGTGGGGGCAGGCCAGGAGCCGGGCTGAGGTGCCCAGGGGCTGTTGACCAAGGGACAATGCCCTGTGTGTCTGGTGGCGCTCTGGCCAGTGGCACCTCTGCCTGTGGCCTGCGGCCGGCTGGCTGGCCAGCACCCACAGGGCCAGCTAAGACAATCAGCTTCGTTTGCTTTGGGGATGGCCAGGGTGAGGGTGGAGGAGGGCTGGGCTGTCGGTTGGTGGGGAAAGGGTGTGGGCTGAGGTCAGCAGGCAGGCCCTATCTCCCAGGAAAGCCACCTTGGGCATTCTCCCCTCTGCCCCACTGGGCTGAGCTGCGGGCGCACCCCTCTACTCTGCAGATGGGAAACTGAGGCTGGAGCACAGGGATCTGCACAGTGGTGACAGACCTAGGGATGGTGCCTGGTTCCCATCCAGAACTTCATCTGCCGCCCCACACTGTTTGTCTTGGGACGTTTCCTGCACAAAGCCAGCCTGCTGTGAAGCTGTGAGTGTCACATGAGCCAAACTGCAGGTCCAGAAGGACATCATGGCTGACAGATCTGGCCTTCCTGGAACAGTGTGCTCTCCTATATATACGAGGTGTGCCCTCCCGGGGCCTGGCCCCTAGGTGCTGCTTGTGACCTTCCTTCTCTTTCAATCTCAGTTTCCCTCTCTGTAAAATGGGAGCCACGCCCACAGACAATCGCCCAGCCCATTGCTGCAGAAGTCTGTCTGAGCCTTGGGTCTCATACCTCTAGAACAGAAATAATCATTCTATCTGCCCCTCAAAGCTGCTAGAAGGAATAAAGGAAATACTCATGCTAAATAGCTGGCATAGTGCCTGACACATAATAAGTGCTCAATAAATATTTTGCTGTTTATTATAAACACTATGATAAAATTATTTTATACCTGTGATTACAAACATTAGCCATTCTGACTTGCATTGGCACTAGCATGGTTCTCATCCCTCAGCCAAATGCCCTCTCCGCCCGTCACGCCCACCCTCCTGGCTGAGAGTTCCAGTCTCTCCAGACTCAGGCCACAACTTCATGAGCTCAGGCGACCCCGGGGTCCACAGGGCCTGGACTCACATGCTGGCCAAGGTCTCTCACCTCCAGTGAGCAGCCGGGCGTGTGCGGGCGCGAGTCCACCCAGGGAGGCAGGAGTGGGGGAGTGTGAGGAGGACGGAAGGCCACTGCAAAAGCCAGCACTGCCCTGTGCTGCCGAGGGCCAGTCCTGGCCATTTACAGGAATGGGCAAAGGGAAGAAGGCAGGGCGAGAGGCGCTCCTGAGTGTCACAAGATTAATCTGCCCAGGGCAGGTCTCCACAGCATAGCTGAGAAGCTGGCTGGGACCCGAGCGCTTCCAGAGATACCACCATATTTGGTCAAATACTAGACAAGACCGTTCTGTCGCTGGAAACTCCAGAGGGAGGGGGACTCTGAAAATACCTCCTTGGGCCACAAAGGCCCCCACCCCCAGCCTGGCCGGCCCATCCCCTCCACCACTTTCGTCGGAGCCAGTGAAAGGGTCAGTCTGAGAGGCAAGGGGGGCAGCTGGCGGTGTTCCTCGGTGGCCTTCTGCTGCTCCCTGCAGCTGGGCACCCTCTCCCCATATCCACAGAGAGTGGCGTATTGGGCTGCAGGGGCTCCTCAGGACCGCTGACACCGTCAGTCTCCTGACTGCTGGCACCTACACCCCAGCCTTCTGCCTCCCACAGCCAGAGCACAGTGGCCTCAGCTCCTGATAGTGATTCTGGGGTCTCAGCCTGAATCCTGACGTAGGAGACCCAGGAATCTGCATTTCAACCTGAAACTCAGTCTGGCAGCTGCGGGGTCCTCACCCCCTATCTAGCCCACTCCCTCTACCCATTTTACTAAAGGAGGCTAAAGCCCAGAGAGGGAGGGACCCTACCTACCCAAGCTCACTTAGCGGGTTTGCCGGGGCTGGGAGCGGACCGGGTCACCCAGTTCTTTCCCCTGCACCTCCCTCAAGTCTATAGGGACAGCCCTGGCCAGACTAGGGCTCCTGGCTGGTCCGCAGGAGCCGAGGAGCTAGGCTGGGAGAGCTAGGTCCCTCACAGTAGGGAGCATAGCGGTTCCCAAGGCAGGTGCTCAGTTACTATCCTTGGATTTCTCATTTCTGGGCCATCCTCCTGCCTTGGTCCCGAAACCACTGGAGGGTCATCTGCCCCAGGGACATCCTGAGTGCAAACCGGGCAGCGCGGCCCGGCGGGGGAGGCTCAGGAGTCAGGGATTCAGGGGCTTCCCGCACATGAGGCCAGGGCCCTTGGGTCTCTGCACAAGGGTGACAAGTCCGCGTGGAGGAACAGGGGTCGGGAAGGAGTCGGTGGGCGCCAGCCTGCTCCAAGACCCAAGGGAAGCCGCGCCGCGATCACCACCAGGTGGCGCCCGTAGGAAGCCCGACGGCGGCGAGGAGCGCGGCGAAGCCCGCGGAGAGAGGTCAGGCCTGTGCTGCCCTGGCTTGCCGGCTTGCCGAGCAACCCGGGATGTAGGCAGACCAGGGCCCAAGACATCGTCCCAGCACGGCGGGAATACACAGCCTGCCTGCCAGTGTGGAATGAGGGCTCGGGCCCCCTACTGTGCACGAAGCCCTGGGTATATGGCGTCCACGCCATAATGCTCCAAAAATGACAGTAATGGCAAGGCTGCTACTTAGCACCCACCTACTTACTGACTGCCAGGCCGGGGTACTGTCCTTTAGGAGAGCTTTCACCGAACCCTCACTTCCAGGACCTTGCAGTGGAGTAAGGCGAGGAGGGTGCCACAGCCTCCTCCAACACCCGCAAACAACCTGGGCCCAACCAGGCCAATCTAGAGTTCGCGATGGGGGGAGGGGGCTCTGAGGGCTCCCGGCTGCGGGCACAGAAGCTCAGCATCTCTGGCACGTGGAAGAGAATACACTGAGTATTTGATGCATTGGGTCAAACCAATTGCAGCAGTGATACTGGGATGGCCAGTGGGCTTCCAGAACAGTGGGGACCCCCAGGAGGAGCCGCAGACCCCAGGGTAAACTCAGCTTCCTCAGTTCTCAGACCTGAGTCAGTCCTGTCTCTGCTCCCTCACAGCCCTGTGGGCTTGGGAAGGTCGCTTGAATTTTCTAGCCTTCAGCTCCTTCTGCACGGTGGAGCCAATGAAACTTGACTCTCCATCAATTATGGAGAGGCTCAAATGAGATGATACGGGTGAATGCACGCACTTAATGCTGTGCCCGGCCAAAGTGAGAGCATAGGGACTGGTACCGAAACTGTCAGTGCCAGTGTTAAAAGAGGTGTGAGTTGGGCTTCCAGGGATGCTTGTGGTGTTCCTAGGGAGAAAGGGCCTTAAGAGGCCAGGACGAGGATGGAGCCGGTGAAAGAATGCAGAGGCCTCCGTTCAGTGGCCCACCTGGGAGGACACAAGGGACTTGGTCTAAAGCCTTGCCCAAGTAGACTGAGAAAGGTGGAGGCTGCAAGTCGCCTGTGCTGGGTGCACCCCCACCCCCACCCGAGAGCCTGGCTCCTCTGCCGTGCCCCCCCAGCAGGAATCCGTCTCCTAGGCCCATATTTGCACAAATGCCTGCCTCACTGCTCACTCCAGAGCCCCAGCCAAGAGGGGCTATTTTAAGCTCCCTGGATGGGAACATTGTTGGTGGGAACAGCCCCAGCCAGTTCTCAAAAAAGGGAAAGGCCTGGGTGAATGGGCGGCCCCTGAACATGCAGAGGGGCTATCATATCATCGCTCCCCCTGCCCAGGCCAGGCGCCAGTGCCTGCACCCCTGAAAGCCGAGAAGGTGGGAGTAGGGGTGAGGCGGTCTGACAGAGTGCTGAGACCATCCTTCTGACAGCGTCTAGCTCAAAGACACCAAGTTCGTTCTCCTGGGTCGCAGAGTGACTCCACACTCGAGCGAGTGCCTTGTGAGCATGCACCCTCCCCAGACTGTGAGAGGCGGGGGGCGCCTTGTCCAGCCTCTCTGCAGGGCCTGTGGTGCAGGACCCTTATGAAGGGTCTGTGGTGATGACCTCCCTCAGCAGTACTAATATTTGGCCAGTGTGGGCTGTTTTCATTGTAACTTGGTTTGGTTTGGTGTGTTCTTGTTTGTCGTGTGCTGTTTTCGTGGGAGTATGTGCTATTTTTGCTTTTTGATTCTTGTGAAGAGCCAGTTTAGACTAATATTTAAAGCACAGGCTTTGAACCAAAGTGACCTGCACCCCAACCCACCCTGCCCCCAGTGCAGCAGCTGCGACACCTTGAGCAAGTGACTTAACTTCCCTGAGCCTAGTCTTCAAGGTGGGCAGGCTGGCAAGGCCATGTTCCCAAAGGGCCTGCTCAGAGTGGCCACTCGGGGCATGGCCTTGCTATTATTTTGTTGTACACATTGTTCTCAGCGCTGCCCAGTCTGGTGGCACAGAACCACTCTAGTCCCAGAACTTTCTGACTGCCAGGAATAGAATGGACTGTCCTGCAAAGGTGAGAGCTCTCCCTCTGCCCAGTAGAGCCTGGAAGACTGGTTGGGACGCTGGGAGTGGTGTACAGGATGAAGAAGGAGATGGTCTTCTTGAGTTTTAAAAGTTCCCTTCCAAGCTGGGTGTGGTGATGCACACCTGTGATCCCAAGCTCGTGGGGAGATTGAGCAGGAGGAAGATCAAGATTTCGAGCTCAGCTTGAGGAACTTAGCAAGACCCTGTTTCAAAAAAAAGAGAACCAGGTGGTGCATACCTGTGATCCCAGCATTTGGGAGGCTGAGGCAGGAGGATCACTGCAAGTTCAAGGCCAGCCTGGACTACATAGTGGGACTCTGTCTCAAAAAAAAGCATAGGGTGGAGGGGGAGAATATAGCTCAGTGTGGAGGCTTTGGTGTGGAGGCTCTGGATTCAATCCGCAGTACTCCAAAACAAAAACAAAAGCTCCCAGCATTGGACAGTCTGGACCTTCTGCCCAAGGCCTTGGAATCTTTGTGGGGCTGCCTGCCTTCATTGGACCAGACCTGGGGCAAAAAGGAGCCCTCGGAAGCCAGTAAAGGATGTGAAATAAACAGCTGTCCCTGGGGAAGCTGAGGTCCCCAGGCCCCTGCCCAACTGCATAGCCCTCCCCGCACCCCCAGTCCCAGGGGATGTTTATGCTCTGGTCAGAGTTTACAGGACGTCTGGATTTACAAGATCCAGGGTTCTGACTTTTTTCCCCAAAGCTGTCAGCCCCTCCTCTTGCTGGGTGACTCTGTGTCTATTTGGGGTCGGAGGCCCCACCCTGTAGCAGAAGGAGGGAAAGAGGGCAGACAGCCTGTGAAATGTGTCCTTCAGGCCCCAAAGTGGGGAGCCGGTGGAGGAACTTGGCCAGGCCGTGGGGTGTGAGGAGCGGGCTGGGGTATCCTGGCTGTGGACAGGAGTCTGGGAGCAGGGCAGACAGGGACGGACTCCTCACAGCTCCTCACCTTGGGGTTCAGGGTCCCCTGCCTCAGCATCGAGCTGGCCCTGCAGAACCGGTCAGAGTTGTTCCTGGGTACGGCTGCAGTTACTCGCTCAGACAGCGCTTGTTTTGGTGCATGTCTTTGTGTGTTATGGATGGTGTCTTGGATATGTGCTCTGTTTGTATATTGTTTGGAAAAGCTGTCAAGGCTATGAGCCAGTCATATTCACAGACAGCAAGCCTGGGGCCAGGAAGAGCAGTGCAGAAGTTGCTGAAGGACACCCTGCGGCTAGCCACGCATGAGACACAGTTTGTAGGACGAGCAACAGCTCTGAGACACATGACAGCCCCCTGAGCAAGCAGCATTAATGACCATAGTCAGGGCCTCTGCGCCCATCCTCCTGACCCCAGAAAACACACGGAGTCTTAGGGCAACAGTGAGTTGCACTGTGGCCTCCCTGCCGGGCTCGTCTCTGTGACCCGGACCTGTGAGAGCCAGGGCTGAGTGGCCGCCCCTGGAGGTAGTCTAAGCGTCTGTCCTGCTGGGCTCTGTTGGTGTCTGTGAGCTGCGACCGTTAAGACATCAGCCTGTTGGCAGTGAGGAGCCTCGCGGGTTCTCAAGGGTCCATTCACATCCT